TCCTCGAGAGCCTGACGAAGCTGATCTTCGGTATATTGAGGCATTATATATAGAAGAAGACATGTGCAAAAGATGAGCCCATTTGGACGCGAATTGAAAATGTTGTGATAAAAGGAGGTTGGGGGTGGGCATTGGGTTGTGGTGGATTTTCGCGTTTTTGTGGGTGCCAGAAACAGGGGGGTGCCAGGAAGTGGGTATGTTGACTTACTTGTCCATGTAGTTGGCACGGGAAGTGTCCAACCATCGATCGGGGTTGAAGCTCTCCGCGTCCTGACCAAACACTTTCTTGTCGAAGTGCAGAACAGCGGCATTTATGCCAACAGTGTAGCCGCCAGGAATGAACTGTCCGCTGATTGTCATTCCTTGTGGAGGCACAGTACGTGGTAAAGCTGAGATAATAGTTAGATTTCACACTATCGCTTCTAAGATAGCAGTCTAGAGAGAGCTCAACTTACAGAGCTGTGCTCCGGGGTGGATGCGCAAGGCCTCTTTGATGCACGCGCACAGTTAAGGAAGCTGGGATGCATCTTTGTATCCAGGAGGCATACTCAGCCGACTCTCGCTGACGGCCTGGTCGATTTCAGCCTCGAGGCGGCGATAGATGTCAGGGTTGTGCATGAGGTGGTAGAAAAGGGATCGAAAGGCGATCGCGGTGGTATCACTGCCGGCAAAAAGCGCGCCGTACGATTCCTGCTCGACGTCGCCCCATCGGTAGTCGTACTTTTCGCCATTCTTTTCGTAGATGGCGAACACCTGCTGGGCCATATCGGTCCTTGGGGCCTCGAGGCGTGACTCGTACGCGTCCTTCATAAGCCGCGCGGAGGATTCGCCAATGTTCTTCCTGTTCCGCCAAGTGTCAGTCTCCCACAGTCGTGTGACGGGCGAGAAGAGATCTCGTACACTCCCTTCGCAATTTCCTTTCCGGCGGACGTGAGCATGGTTCCGATGCCGATGAAAGGTCGGAGAGCTGGCGGCGCAACGCCCATGAGACAGACAAAGGGAATCATCTTATCGAGAGATTTGATCCAATCATTCTGATCCTTGCCTTCATCAAGGAAGCCGAATGCCCTGCCATAAAAGAGCTCACCGATGATGTCGAAAGTGTACCTAAAGTTGTTAAGCCTATATTCGACACGTGGATTATGGGGACAGGGCAAATTGCAAACTAACCAATGCAGCCACTCCCCGATGTCACAGGTCTTGCCTGTGTCCGCAAATTTTGCCAACCGCTCGGTCAAAAGATCGCCACAAGCATCAATATACTGTTCCGACTTGGCTACATTGCTCATTGAGTAGACACTACTGGTAATCTTGCGTCTCTGGCCATGCTTCTTGTCGTTCTTGCATGAGAACACGTCTCCGTGGGGGCTGAACCCGGTGGTGTTATAGGGTCTGTAGAACTCGGCCTTATCCAAAGCGTTGGAAAAGCGATAAATATCTGCAAATGCGTCAGGACTGTATTCCGATTAGTTGCCGTGCTCTCAATCAGTGGGTTTTGTAAAAGCTGGAAGCGTACTCGGAGCATGACACTTCATCCGGCGCAATGCGAATCAAAGGACCGAATTTCTCGTGTAGGGCCCTCTCATCCTTTTCCACATCCTCTGACCAAATTTTCCGTATGTACCATAGTCGAGAGACCGTCGCCAAGAATGGACCGGGAATGTTGCTCAATGGGTGTAGAGTGCGTGCGTAAATAACCCAGCCGATCCAGTAGAGGATTGGAAGGGCGGCTAGAATACCCAACTTGCTGGAAGTAATGAGATCCGTGAACATGACGAAAAGCTATTTGTTACTTTTCGTCTCTATGGACTATCTGGTTCGAGAAGACAAAATTGACGAACATATATAGCGCAGACGGAAAGGAGGAATTCGCTTCACGGAGTGATGTCGCTAATGGAAGTCCGTCATGCTGAATAACGCCCCGCGCAACGGGCCCATGACACAATGCATGATTTATTAATGCGATGATTTGATTGCTCGGAGACCCATCCGCGGACGAATTTTACCCCGTTGCAAGTGTCATCGAGCAATAGCTCCGGAATGGACAAAATAAAATGTGCGCCGGCCGGCTGGTTTGTAGGTTCGGCACGCCAATCCGGCCCGAGACCGATATCTGGACCCACTAAGTGCACCAAGTGACGCCGTGTGGTCAGTCGCTCTTTACTGTTACGAGACGGCCATTTGATAGCTGTTTCTTTCGATTTTTGTTCTTTTTCTGTAGACGATAGGCTGTTCTTAAAGCTGGAGTGGCGAAATGCAATCTCTGAAGCTATGGATGTGCTGAAAAAGCTAAGATTGAAACACAAATTCGTACCACAAGTTGACTGCAACCATGTAAATCACAAGTCAGACGAACTGGCCGGTCTTGGAGCTATTAATCTATGTTAGGCGGCTGATGCAATAAGAATGACACGATAAAACTAGACGACGCGTCTTTACCAATGCAGACCAAGATCCGCATACCACGCGAAGAAGCTCGTGGAGTCTCAGCCGGTAGTCCGGCATGTCAGGTCGAGGCAAATATCTGCTGAATAATAGGCGTCCAGCTCAGATAATTTGAGCGTGGCACCCCTGATATAATTTAATAAAGTTATGGGGTAGGTAAGCTCGGCTTACAACCCTCTATACTACAAAACCTTCCGGAGCTCTATGGTAAGGGCTACGGTCCTGCTGCCACAGCATTCAATATCATAATAAAAACCTCTTTGAATTCGGCATAGTGATAGGCAAATTATAGGTTTTGGGGGGCTTGGGAAAGGTAGAGCCGTTCAGTACGCGGTGGGAAAGTCTCATAATCTTAAGTGATACTAATAATTTAGTTGTAGACCTTGATCTTTCGCCATGATATGCTCTTCAGTTCGGGTCCAGTAGTTTATACTATCATCTAAAATGTAGCTATTGTGATTCGTGGAAAAGGTACGCCCTGATTTCGAAACTTTCTCTGTCTGAGCAGTCTACCGTCGTTGGGTCAACAAACGCCGAGTGCGGGTTCCGTCTGGCAACGCCAACCTCAGAATCGTAACTCTTGAACAACGTGACAATATCAGGCGTCTGGCCGTATCTAAAATAGAAACGATGGTTCGGACTGGCAGTGACGTTGAAGGTAGAGCCCTTGCGAGAAGGAAAGACGACCTCTGTGTGAACAAGGTCTTCGTCCGCCACGGAACGAGCATCGGCGACTGCAAAAGGGTCCTTGTAGACAGGTTTCAGTGGTCTCCAAGCGTGAATTACTTGAAAGCGGCCTTTCAATAACTCTTCTGCCTGAGGACCTAGGTCATGACGTGCGCCAGCGACGGCATCCTCGGGTGTCAGGTCACTATGAACTAGCTGGACCGGACCTTGTGCGGCTTTTCCGCGCTCTGATGATGGCTTCCGGTGGATGGGATTGAAGAGAAAAACGTGTTTCGCGCCAGTTCTGGGTAATCTATTAGCCTGCATTTAGTGGAAAAGGAACGTCGGCTACCTACACATCCTTCAGCATCTGTTTCATTTCCGGGAAATACTCCTGCTCCACGACCAAGGGATCATCGAAGTTGGCGACCTTGGTTTTGTGAAGATGGAATTTGAAACCATGGTTGTCGAGGGAGTATTTGTGTTCATCGCCAGTAATGTCATGGACCGTCACTGGAACTTGCTCAGTCCAACGACTATAGTCGTGTGTCTCAGGTCTGAAGGGATATATAGTTGGTGGCTCTTGTCCCTTGGAAAGCGGTTTGAAATAGTTGAAAGTGGTTTGTACATGATGTTTTCCAGAAGACGTGGGGGACACGGGAAAAGAAGAGTAACGGGACATGATTGTGAGTCTCGTCGCCGATATGATCGGGCGCACAAAAGTAGATGCAACACGCATTTTGAGACTAGGTAGAGAAAGAATAGCGTCAACCGATCCGTGACGAACAGAAAGTATTGGGAACAATAGAACTTGTAGATCTTAAGTATTCAAGGACATGGCTCAATAAACGAAAATTTAAACTTCCTCAACTGGGCTATTGGGAATGTCGCATCGGCGAGAATTACCTCGTCTCCAGATAAAAGCTAAGTTCGATTTTACACTCAATCTTGTACGCTAATCGGACGCATTCGCGGCCCTTGACGGCATCGTCCGCCCCTAGTCCGCCGTTCAACCCGCCTCAGCTCTCGTATTTGCGGCCGACAATCCACAAACGTTGTGATGCTGAATAAGTCGAAGTTGCTCGGCAAAGTATGCTCTCCGCTGACTCAGCGGCTTATTGCAGGCTACGGCTTCGTGACCAAAGACACCATTTTAAGGAAATAGTGGCCAATTCCCATCCTCTTTGCTCGCTTGTCTTTACGCTTTCTCCCTTAGTGTGAAAGATCAATGGCTAATTCAAGACGACTCTTGTTTTTGAACATAGCTTTGGTCCGTATGTTCACCCAACGTTTTACGATTATTAAATGATTGAACACAGTGCGAAAGATCATCTAAACAAGTAGACAAGACTCTGATAACTATCTAATTTGTCCAATTGAGTATTTGCGCTAATCGCATTCTGTATCTGTATTCTTTTCTTAGACAGTGAGTGAATGATTTCATGGTTTCCGTTAACAACACTGCATCTACTAGAAAAATCCCTTAGTAATTGTGTGTCCTATGTTCCGTAAGTCTGTATCAACTTCGATCCAGTCACCCGAATCTTCGTAGGCTTTCTTTTCGCCTCCATATCCATGGTCTACGCCAGTGTCCTGCAGCATTACGTTGACAACTCCCCGCCCAAAAGCATTCACGTCTGGATACAGGCTCCCGCTTACATACTCGTGGCGTTCTCCGAAGCGTTCATCATCGTCACCGGACTGGAGCTAGCCTTCACCCCAGGCTCAAAAGAATTAAACTTACCGGTATCCCCTGGACTCAGGGGTCTCAATAAGACTACATTGCTGACAACGTCATTTAACTTCAGTCTTCGTTCGGTTGTGTCCGCCCTATTTTGGCTGACCATTGGCATCGCCGCCGCCATTTGCATTGCGCTTGCGCCTGTTTCGCAAGATCCTTACCTCGTTTGGATGTATGGTTCGCTGGGCATTGTTGGTTTTGTGTCAGGATGCGCTTTTTACTTTTGCTTTTATCCTGGGCACGATAGGAAAGTGATGGGTCAAGGGGTCATTATCGATGGCACAGAACCTGGAGTTAATCGAGTTGAAACACCTTTGCAAGATGGGCCGTAGGCACATTGAGACTGCTTCTGTTCAGATGTAATATTTACTATATGAAAATAGAGATATCGCTAAACCAGAACACCCGAGCCATGCAATGAACGACTGTTGCCCAAAAATGGGATATCATTAAATTTTGTATTGTATTGTACCGTCATCCAAAACTCGGGATGCGGACCGTACCGGACGCTTCCACCGTGACCTCGCTGTTATTATCACTGGCTCTTTTCTTAAATAAAGGCAGAGGTAAATATTGAATGGTCTCGGTTGTGACACTCGGCGTATTGGCTGGTGGATGGTAAGAAAGGAGTGTGGGCGAGAAGACACCGCTACTAGCTGTGCTCGCAACGCTTGTTTCGGAAATTGAGCTCTCCGTAGTGCTGGCGAAGCTCTTTCGATGGTTCATCTCTGGATCGGGCTCGACCTGTTGGTGGCCTCGGATCCAGTGAAGCCAATCCAAGATGGGAGTATGTAGACCCTCCGGCATCGTGCTCTCGGGGCTGTGAGAAGAAATGTTGGTACGCGACTTTGTTGACTTTGATGACTTTTGAGATCCGGGGGCACGTATGATGGTCCTCCGGGCAACGTCCTTGCGGCCGTGCCATAACATCGATGACACGGTACTTCGAGAAGCCCGAGAGAGAGTGCGAGTGGGCGTCTTGGGTGTGCGGAATCCGGAGAAGACACTAGGGGTAGAGTTGCCGCTGCGGGACGAACGAGTTGGCCATCTGAAGATGCGGATAGGCGATGGCTCTGGGATTGGAGGCGGCGGAGGGAAGCCGAATGTCCCTGTGCCTGCTAGAGATTGAACATATTGTTGCGCTTGCGCGTATGAGAAGGGAGATGCTGCATATGGGTTTGTTCTCGGTGTGTCCTGCATTTGAGGCGACATCGGCGGTTGGGAAGGAGGTTGATAGCCGGGTTCGGGGTGTTGAATGGTAAATTCGTCTTCGTTAGAGACCGTACGGTTATCAGTCATTTCAGTGAAACTGGGGTCGACATTATCGCGGAAAGGCGAGGCCGGACCGTACTCGTTGCTAGGACTCTCGAGGGCGACGGCTTCATGAAGATGGCGGGCTGCTTTCCTTCTCCGACGATAGCACCAGAATATCAAAAGGGACAGTCCCATGAGTACCACGATGCCCACTGCATATCAGTCAGTATCAAAAAAAGGCTACACATATGAGCAAAGCGGCAAGGATGCACTTACGCACGACTCCAGTGGCGACCAAAGGCCCTTGGCTGCTTGATGATGATGTATTCTCGTAATTCGGCGAAGGCGTTTGCGTAGCATTGGTCACGCCAGATCTTGTACTTGATGCGCCCCCCGCTCCAACCCCGATCACGCTTGTTCCTGTTGCCTCTGGTGTAACCGTTTGGGATAACACTGGTGATGAAGCTGCATTCTCAGCGGCTACTGGGACAGTCGTAGCAGCTGCAGCAGGCGTTGACGAAGCAGCAGCTGCAGCGCTTGAAGATGAACTTGAAGCTGCTGGAGGATTCGCTGCTGCAACTGTTGTTGACGATGCCTGAGCTACCTGCTGTGATGTCGTCGGTGCCGCTGCTGGTGCCTGAGCGACTGGTGTCGTAGCAGCTTGCTGCTGATCCTGCTTCGTCGTTGCTGCCGGCGATGCAGCTGGTTGTTGTGCAGCCGGTGTTGTCGCAGCTACAGGAGCGGCGGCAGCTGTTGTTGCAGCCGGCGCAGCGGCAGCTTGTGTCGTTGCTGCTGCCGCTGGTGTACCCTCTGCCTGAACATTCCCCTGAGTTGTCGTCGCCGGCGACGACAATACTTGGCTGACGATGGCGCCGGGTGTGCCGAGGATATCTCCAATTAGGCCCCGGTTGAAAAGTTTCCCCGCGATGCTGTGCCACCTCCCGTGGATTCCTTGATCAACCATGGTGCATTATTATTCAGGTCCTGCTGTTCTGTTGTGTAGGTGTTTGCTAGTGTGTTATAAGGTCGTATGTTGATATGCAATTGCTTCTTCAAGCGACAGTCCGCAAACGCCCGCTTGAAGTCTCAAATGCTCCTGTCATGCAGCTGTGTAAGAAAAGCCAGAATTGAAAAAGAAGCACCTCAAACGAAGGTAGGCCCCGATCACGAACGAATGACTGGAGTGAGAGAGAGGTAAAACACAACAAGTAGGTTCAGAAGCCTCTCAGCCCGCAGGCGATTGCGCGAGTGAGGGTATAAGAGACAGCCACCCCTCGACCCGTAGGCCGTAGGGGAAGAGAGAGGTTCGAGGTCAATGCGGATATGAGGATTGCACTAGCTGTGATGAGGAGGTCCGAGCCTTGTCGTTCACTCGCCTCCTCTAGACTGAAAAGGGCACAGCTCCAAGAATTCCCAAGGTCAAAGCTACGGACTCTTACCCCATCACCCAGGAACGCTCCCGCCAGTTTCTTTTCTGCGGCTGGCGGGTAGGCGGCCTCGAAAGCTAGCGCAATCGGCTGCGAGACACGGCGGCCTCTTATGATACAGCTAGCGGTTACATCGGAAGAGTGGCGTCTGTTGTTTGCTGAGGACCAGAGGCGCTAATTGACGCCAACTGTCCATGCGGCTTTGGTGCCTATTCCCTTACGGGTTCGACAAAAGGTCTTCATTTGATAAGTCTGGTGGAATTTCCACCTCCTTCAGACGTCTTGAGTCGGAAAAAGAGTTGAAAGGGGTATCGTTAAATGATGTCTTGGAATCCAGAGACACGATCGACGCGTCTTGACCACCGTGTGGTGGTGCGTCCCGACGTTGAAGAAACTTGAAAGAGATTTGATATGCTTATGGTTGTTTCTGTCTCAGCTAAACCTTAAGCATACAAGATCCCGCTGCAGGGAGCAAAAAACATCCGTTATCTTGCATTTCACATGTGCATGCATACGTCTTCCTGACTCCCCTCCCCTGGACGCACGGATGATGCGACGCGGGCATGGGAGTGTTCATCCCATCCGTGTCCGCACATCATCCCGTCTTCTCGCTCTTGGTGCTGACCACTCCAGGGTCTTAGCTTCTCTCGAGAAGTCCGAGGGTTCGGTTGCGACCCCTGTTAGTTATCGCGGTGACACAACATTTACTCTGACCTGACAGTACACCTGACAGACTGTCAAGGGCGTTAGGCGTGGCGTGCGGTGGGTTGCGAAGCGGAGCATATTCTGTCCGGAGAACCCTTCATGTGTCGATCGAGTGGCGCCTGTCTGCGGTCTCTTTCTATGGGGCAGCCATCGTCTTAGTCTCAGAAGGGACTGTTTTGCGAATACATGGAGTCGCGAGATGGAATCAGTTTGACCGTACGGAGTATTTACGCGATAAACCCCGCCGCGGTCCACTCGAGACTGCTTCCTGAGCAATCCGACCTTACTCGTGGCTTTCTGTCTTTGGTGAGGTGGATTTGGGAAAGCCGAATGTCGATGCCGATGCCGGTGCCAACAGCTCTGGCATTTGTTCCCGTGCCTTGGTATGTTCGTTTCATGGTATGTCTGCTGATCTTGATATGTGAATTGACGCGTATCTAGTCGTGTCTGAACTGTGGCTATCGCCAGTGCATCTAATGCGATGGTTTGCATAGACACCAACTCTCAAACCCGCTTCCAATGCAATTAAGATCGCTGGTGGCAACTACAAGTCTTGCCGATTGATCAGAGCTAGACGATATCTGATTAAACATGTCCATATGAACGATAAGATACGAAGGGCTCTGTAAAAAAGCAGTCCTTTCGTTGAAGAATGTCTTCGACATCAGTAACGAATGAAATGCGGGAGCTTCTCGCTGTAAGGTCGAACTGGCAACAATCTGACTTTCCTACCTCGTACTTAGCACTATATTTTATACGGTAGATCATGTCCAATCTGTCTCCAATACTGCTTGAGACTTGATTTTCCAGCAATAAAATGATGAACCCATGCCGGGCAGCGTAAGCAGAGCGTCGCACGCATATGCGTGCCGTTACTCATCCTCACATCTACGAGCCAATGAGATTGCTCTCATTGGTGAGAGGACATAATGATTGCGGCGGTCAGGTCAAGAACAATTGGCTATATAACAGTGTGTGATTTCTAGATGGCGGAGAAGCAGGCTTACTCTGTGTTATCCCTGAATTTCAAAATGGCGATCTCGATACTTGCACTGAGCGTTGTAGGCGCACTTGTCGCGTTCTTCCTCATACGTCCTCGCCTCCAGGCCTCCAAGTCCAACATCAACTTTCCTCCAGGACCTCCTACCATACCATTCCTCGGTAACCTCCATCAAATACCGTTGACGAAACCATTCATTCAGTTCGCAGCATGGAGCCGCACGTACGGATCGCACGGCCTCGTCGGCCTGTCACTCGGACCCAGCAACAAAGCCGTCGTCCTCAACACCTGGCAATCCGTGCGCGATCTCCTCGATCAACGCGGGGCCCTCTACTCGTCCCGGCCGTACGTGCCTATCGTGGAGTACGTGCTACCCCCGCCCGGTGACATCCATCTCGTCTTTTTGCGGTATGGTCCCAAGTGGAGGAAGGAGAGGAAGACAATTACGGACTTCTTGAAAGACGACAAAGTTGATAAGCTCTTGCTGTTGCAAGACGCTGAATCATCACAAATGATGCATGAGCTGCTGTGTGATCCTGCTCATTACCACGACCATATTTTGCGGTACTTTGGCGCCATCATCATGTCAAGCGTCTTTGGCACCCGCGGAAAGGATTTCAGCGATGAGGGTAAGATTAAGAAGTTCTTCGAATGCCAAGCGGAGTGGGCAGGAATGCTGGATCAGGGGGCCGTTCCCCCTTTCGATGTGCTGCCATTTCTGAAATATGTCCCGGATTTCCTGACGCCTTGGCGAGGTTGGAAACTTAGAGCTGCAGACCTCAAATTGAAACAGAACGGATTGTATCACGACTTATTCGGGGAAGCCAAAGCACGCATCAGCCAGGGGAAGGCCGAAGACAGCTTCGTAGCAGGGCTTTTGCGTGATAACGAAAAAGAAGGCTACAGCGACCTCGATCTCGAGTACATCGCCGGCTTTTTGATGGAGGGAGGCTCGGACACGACCGCCGGTGCTTTTGAAACATTTATTTTGGCAATGGCTGCGTATCCTGATATCCAGAAAAGAGCTCAAGCAGAAGTGGATGCGGTATTTGGCGAGAGTAGCATACATGCTGAACGTCTGACTGCAGAAATTTTGCCTTATATCAAGGCTTGTTTCCTTGAGGTCAGTTTCTCTTTCGATTTATTTTCGTTAAACATGAACGTCTGTCCATGGTCTAACTCGCTCCGAAGACTCTCAGGTGGCGGCCAGGGTTTCCCATGGCTATCCCTCACGCAACAACTCGCGACGATGTTTACAAGGGCTACAACATCCCCGCTGAAACTACAATTCTCATGAACATATGGGCTATCAACCATGATTCAGACGAGTACGAGGACCCAGACACTTTCGAACCCGAGCGGTTCATGAAGAATCCACTGGGTGTCAAAACTTGCAATCAGGAGTCCAAGGCGGCGACCGAAGATCAATCGCGTCGGCCTACTTACAGCTTCGGGGCCGGAAGAAGGATCTGCGCCGGTCAGCGCATGGCTGAGAACAGCATGCTGATGACCATGTCCAAGCTACTTTGGTGCTTTGATATCGTGGCGGGGGATACGATGCCGGATACTTCGATGCAGACTGCTTTCAAAGATGCGATCCTGACTGGGCCGAAGGCTTTTGATGTCAGCTTCAAAGTCCGTGGTGAGGATCGGCAGAAGCATCTTGTTGAGGAATGGACAAAGGCAGACGCATGGCTGAAGAGGTTTGAGTGACTAGACTGTAGTATTCTAACGGGTTGATGTTGTTGTTTAATGTCATGCCGGAAGAAAGTCGCCGGAGTTGCCATTGACTTTCAATAGCCTCGAATTCCGCCGAAGGCAATGGACCTTGATGGAGCATGGAATTTTCGATTGAAATGAAGTCTAATTCCGGTATGTAAATCAAAGAAGCTAGACTCGCTCTAGAGTGTGGGCATCGAAAGATTTCCTAGGGCCCTAGGGACGTCTTGTTCTTCTTGAGAGGGTAATATACGATTGCTGCTGCTTTCATCCCAAAGGTCAAGGGCGGCCGCGGAGGAGCTCTTTTTCTTTTCTTGTCCGATGGACATTAGCATCGCTTTAGGTTGGGGATCCAAAGGCCATGTCTCATTATAGTTTGCGGAGGTGTGGAGGCCCAGACCAACACCACGCCGACTATCGCCGGTTCCGGCATTCCAAACATGGCTTATGGCCCGACCACGCTTCTCGCCGCATTTCCCACTAGAACTCCATCCAGATCTGGCTATTTCCCATGGAACCGGATGCCACGTTTTCGTTCGTCTCGGCGCCACGAGTCTCTTAGACATTCAGCTGAGCCTCAGCTACGGCATAGCTGATGGGCGTATTCTAGATGCGACGTATTTCAAGGTTTCCGCGACAAATTACTGCACTTGAAGGTTTGCAGATCGAATCTCGTTAAATACCGGCCAGGACCACATAGCATCAGCATCTATCCATCTCTCCATCAAGCTCATCATCCCTATCATCTTCATCATAAAAATGCACTTCTCTACCTCTCTAGCCATCTCGGCTCTGTTGGAGTTGGCCGCGGCGGCAACATGCCCCGCGTCAGGACCCCCAGTATACCCCAGGGCCACGGAGAATAATACCGCCTTTATCCCCTTCATCAACAAGTTTCCTGACATCAACACCACGCCCTCACTTACATTTACGGTCATGACCAAAGACTTGGAGACGCTTAAAATGAAGGCGGTGACCATCAAGTCTGCCGGCATGGACACCGGTTCTACCGGCGTCATGATCGGTGCCGGCGTTCTCGGTTTCGACGCGAAAACACAGTTCGACAAATCCAAGCCCGGAAACGAATATCTGTCTTCCAGCGGTAGACTGTGGCAAGGCTACTGGGTCGATGCAAACCTCACTTTCCCCGCAATGGTGGATGAACGCACGATTGGCGAAGATGTCGTTGCCTCCGTTCCTATCCTGATCGTCACCGAAGCCAGTATCTGCCGCGCATGGAAGACCCAGGGCTCCTGCACGGAAGCGCAGAAGTCCAACATCACAATGTACCCCAATAATATCCACTACATGGGTGTCGGCTTCGGTAGATGGAGCAGCGAGCAGCCCGATGCCCTGCCTGACAAGGTGTCTCTGATCAACATTGCGTCTATCGGCGGTCGACCTGTGAAGAGTACGATTCACCAGGGCTACGTTCTGGGCAAAGATGGCGTCGAGGTTGGTCTCACGAGCGAGAACACCGAAGGATTCTGCAAGACGCAGCTCGACGTCCGATCCGGATCCAACTCCACCATCGACTGGAACATGGTGAACATGGCAATCAAAGTTAACGACTCGCCCTACGACCATGGCCCAGCTCTTTTCGACACTGGTATTCCCCAGGCGTTCCTTCGGGTTAACAAAGACGTCAGATCGCACTTCAAGAATGTCACATCCAAGGCTATCAAGACACACCCTCAGGTTGCTGCCAGGGGAACCGTTGTGGTGGTTCACATTCCCAACGAAAAGAACCCCATTGCGACTTACAACGTCACTGCCCAGGGTGCGGGTAAGCCCAATCCAGCGACAATGCAGCCCTTGGGATTCGTTCTGGAGGATCCACCCGTGGCACCCAACGTGCCTTTCATCAACACTGGCAGGATGTTCTATAACGGCTTCGACGCCCTCTTCGATTCCGCTTGTGGCTGGTTTGGATTGGCGGAGGTCGAAGAGACTAGCGCAAAGAGGGCCAAGAGGGCTACTTGCCCGTCCTAAAATCGAGGAAGAGGCGTCTTGAATTTTAGTCTGTTAGAGCAATGTCTGAGCTAGGTTTTCAATAGAAAGTAGTAATACATTCCACTGAAGATTTGTCCAAGTTGCAATTCCTTCTAAGAATGAAGTTGGGCAGAGCTTTTCATGCCGTCCAAGCGGAAGCAGATCTGCCTCTTCATATCAAGTGAACGGGGTAGTACGCTTGGCCAATTGTTGACTAGTCACGCCGTGGCCACGATCATCCACGCACGGGGACGATATTCGTGAAACTAGACTCTTCAACTAATCAGGGCCTCGAAAGCCGATTATCCACGTCCTTCATTCTCATCGAACTCCGTCCGAGGGACCCTAGGACTACCTTTCAGCAGTTCCAAGCCTTCTGGAAAATCCCTGATCCTTCCGTCATCGTCCCACAGAGCAGCGAGGACCTGGCGCTGCCCCTTCCACGGCTTGCGGGAGTGCATCACGGCGTAGTTCTGTGGGAAGCGCCTCTCGTGTCAGCCACATCGTGCTAGCGTCACAAATCCCACAGGCAAATACTCACATCAAGAAGCACCAGATCTCCCTTCTGCCACTCGACATCTACGGCACCCTCTTCCGCGAGTTTCAGCAGCAGGTCCAAGTCCTCAACATCGATGGGCGTATCGTCGCCATATGTCGGAGGAGGATGATACGACCCGTCATCGCCGCGGAAGGGAGGTCTTGTCGCACCATGATGGCGACTACGGCCCCAGGCGGAGGTGACATTGCCGAAGAATACAGTTGCCCCTGTAGGATCATGGATGCGAACGGCTTCGCCATTGTGTCAGTCTGTGGCCCAGTGAGGCATTTGGTCTAGAACTGGCAGAAGGATTCCTTCATAACTTACCAGCGACAATATGCGTCACGCTCAAGCTACCGTCGTCGTGCCACTCGAATCGGTTGCTGTGGCGTCGAACTTCAGCCTCTATCTTGCGTCGGGCCGCGGCTTCGTCATCTTCGTCTCTGACCTCCTGACCGTAAGCGCCACGAACGCTCGTCCCGGTGTTGGAGACGAGTGGCTTGGTTGTGTAGCGATAGACGTATTTTACACCCTTGTTCAGAAGGTTCGAGAGGAACTGAGGCTTGAGACGTGACAACTTATGAGCAATGTAGATAGCTGAGGTGATGGGTGTGGCGCCGCCTGCTTTGTGGTTAGTGCCGAGGCTCGTAACTAGCTATGCTATGCTTCAGAGCATACCGGATTCTGGAATTTGGAGTGCACTGAAAGTCAGCCACGATGGGTTGATTGTGGACCAACCATATTCGCTATGGGGCCAAATTGGCAGTTCTGGTGGACTACTTCACGTCAGTCCACCTTACTTCATGGAATTCGAATGACAAGACATCGCTTTGCTCTCGGGTATTGAGTAGAGATCGACGCTGGGAGTCGTTTGCATTTTTACTACTTACCCCTCGTTTGCTGTCTTGACATTAGGAGCCAGAATGGTCCGCAGTGGCGGACGTCCAACCTCTACATGAGGACGAAAGCCAAATGCGTGCGCGACCTTGCTATAGTCATGAGGTGTTCCTATCGGGAGGCCACGAATAAGAATCGCTCCCCCATGTTGTTTGATCAGACTGCTCAGATTCCCAGAATGGGCGAAATTTTTGATCGCATGAATGCTTTCGGAGAGATTGAGGGTCTTGCTTGCTTTAAGTCCGAGAGGAAAGCTTGCCGACCACGGCAGCCCAAAGTCGGCGGTGTCCTGCTGACTCGGAACATCAAAAGCCTCAAAAGGCAGCGAAGGCGACGCGTTGTGAACTTGAGATCCTTGTTCAGTGCCCCTAACAGTGGTTTTGGGGGTTTGGTCTACTGCAATTGCGGCCATGGTAGGTGGTCGACTCGAGTCAATGTCGGGGTCTCTAAGAAGGATGAAAGTTGGAAACCAGAGGAATGATGATGACTCTGGCACGTCGCATACTCCTCTGCGAAAGCGAGTTATCAAAGCGCTGCTCTCGAGCCTCGATGGTCTTATAGGAATCTTCGATTCTTAGATCTGAGTGGAGGCTGGTCCCGCATGGCGTGATGAGAGCTTCCCGGCGTCAAGACGTTGACGCGGAGCCGATAACGGTGGGCAATCCCCAACAGCACAAACAGTTTTCCGATTTCGGATAACCGCATTCCCATTAAGCCAGCTATCAGGGCTGTGAAGGCGTCCAATAATGATACAACTTGAAGTTTTCCTGCTGAAAAGACATTGCTGCTTTTACCTTTCCTTTGCCGTATTATCAGGGAAGAAAACAAGAACCTCAAGATTACTTGAGATTAGAGTCTGCACATCCACAACTTCTCCGACCATAAGAGATCAAAGATACGCATGTATAGCACTGAAACAGTGCATAAAGCCCTCTGCAATTGGTCTTTGCAAAGAATTTGCTCGGAAATACTGAGCGGGAACAACGGTGTTCAACTACGCCATCGCTTATCGGCATGTCGTGATCAATCAGGTATGCCTAAGCTCCCCAACTAGAGACTTGGGATGTGTGGGGCTTTGTCTAGTAACGAAATGGGGACAATTCTTTAACACAATATGATTCTACCTAATTACTACAGCAATACGGATTAGGCTTTGGCCTAGCCCATAGAAATGTCGTACGTTGAGCCATAGTTCAATCTATTAGAACACTACCTTAGCCCTGTAAAGCTTGTGCAGACGTTCCTACATGGCTTGGACTCGGTAGACAGTCAAAATGCATGGCGTCGTCAATGTGATTCAAGTATGAGAAGAGTTTCTAGAGACATCGGCCATATGAATGACGAGACATTTCGAAAGACGCCTGTTGCAGAGACTGAGAGTCAAGAAGGAAGTAAGACTCGCCTATCCTCCCAGCCTCTAGAACAACAGAATTTAAATCATCTCTCCTTCTCCGGGCATCAGGTGTACGTTTCCTCAATGAAACAAAAGTGAGAGCAGAAAACTATGTATTTTCATCCATGGAAACCTCCGATAAGCCATTAGTAACCTGCACAGCTTCCTCTGCAGCCTCGCCGTAATTAGAAGTTCACCATAGACTACACGTAGCTCATGACACGTAGGGATAATAATCATAGTCATAGAGAATGAGAATAGGCCACCTCTCATGACACCGAAAACCTGAGTCGGGCCTTACGGGAGTTGAGTACGCCCGCTCAAATGAACGACTCAGGTCATAAGCTCGGTTTCGCTTTCCGGTGCGAGCTCATGAACCCCGACATTGATGGGGCTGTGAAATCTATTACAGTTCGCAAGTCATGGTCTGCCAGGAAGTCTCATCATACCAAAACTCCTACCAACTAACTCATACGCCCAAAATAAAGTTCAAGTAGGAATAATAGACTGCTTACTTTAGATTAATTCAACGTTAAAAGCCCCATTTACATTCCACTCTGACATTCGATGACCCGCACGCGTACGGAGGTGGGGAGATATGACTTTACACAATTTGGCCTGATTGATGGTATAAAAGCCACTAGATGCCCACCTTCCAGAATATATGTGATCCCGTTCTTCCCTACTCAAGCAACCGAGATCTGTCTACTACTCCTCACAATCCATTAAACTCGCCCAACATGCGCTTCAACGTCATCTCCGTCGCCGTGACCGCCCTGGCCTTCTTCTCGCAACAAGCCTTAGCACAAGAGGCTTGCCAGAGCACGGCAGACTGCATCCAAAACTGCGGTGGCTTTGCGGACAAGTTGTGCCGGTGAGTTGTCCACTCGATGCTCTTGGCATTGCATTGGCAACATGAGCTTACAAATCTCCTCCTCAAGTCTCCCTGGCAATATCTGCGAGTGTGTTCCGTACTAGACGTCAGGATATTCCTACGGAAAATCAAATTTCAGACAGCATAACCCTGAGATTTTGATGCCAGAATCGAGGAACTATGGAATGTTACGTATCACTGTCTCGTGCATTTGACGCATTAAGAAAGCTTCTGAGGAGGCGTGTACATCAAGCGATGACATTACATCAATCTGATTCTATCATTCAATAACCATCTGCGACATTTCAATATGTTATAGTTCTCAAAGAATATTGAGAGCAATTGGAAAATACGACGAGAGTGTTAAGTATTCTTTGTAAACTCCCTGTGGGCTGCTGAATCACTTGTGAAGTTTTCTGCGAGCCCAGTCTAACGAGTCTCTCGCTGTATTGCATCTCAGAACAGACAGAATAAGATAATGGTAATCTTTGCGCAAGCCTAGAGTGATTAAGATGTCAGATTTGCTGCCGAAGATTCTCCACGTAAGACAGTTATGCGTGTTGTCCTAGGTGCCTTCATGAATGTCACGATGCCCCTATCCCATCACATACGACCATACCCATTGGAAAATTCGGGATCCCGTCCGCTCTCCCATAGACAAGCCAATGAGGGCCGGATTAGTAGTTGGGTCGGTGACGACCAGCGAATACCTGGTGTTGTATGTTTTTGATTTTTCTTGAATTTTGATCGATATTTGTGGCTCCGCGGAAGGTGGACATGTGGGTCTTTCTACTTTCAAGCCTATGCAGACTCCAAAGACATTAGAATGGGGGCTGGAGAACTCCGTATGGATAGGCGCCTTTTGATCTTCTCGTTGAGAATTTGAAAGCCTCAGTCCATGGCTGTGATAGGTATTGTGCGTCCTTGAACGTAGTGAGGCTGGCGTTGCGGCTTGCCAATGTTTCTAGAAATTTGCACAAACGTGACACCTAGATGGCGCAGCTGACTGAGAACTTTGAAGGTCTGAGAGTGAAAGGGAAACCCCTTGTGCTTAAAACGAGAAGAAAACACAAACAAGCTCCAAAAGCATACTCTTTGCATCTCCCCCACGGGAAGCGAATCGTTACTGAACGTATTCGCCGTGGAAGGCTGGCTAATGGAAAGTGACTATGGTGACTATTAGTATGAACGTCGGCGGTGAGTATCATACCGCATTCTTACCTTTTTCATAACCCAGAGGGCATGCTGTTGAGAATATTTGTGGTCTCGGTGATAGCTACGGGTCGACACCTGAGTACGAGCGTCTGCCCTATCATCCCGTCTATCGAAGACCCAAGCCCCCGACCTCTCACCAGCTCAAACCAATACCAAGTCCCGACGGAGAAAACATTGGAGGTGATGGCTCCACTCTATCGAAGGACGTCTCGGTCCAGGCCCCATGTCGTCCAGCTCTTGTCCCCACCAGACAGACGCCAAACGGAGCGGAACCCGAGGCCCGACTCGTTGAGCTGATATCTGAGTCGACTGAACTCGAAAGCCTTGCATATCTTACGGTCGAGTTCCTTTTGGTGGTGTTAGTCCTCGATGAGACAACCCCTCGCTCATGCCCGAGGAGCACAAGTCATACGTCTCAAGTGACACAGCAGATAGCCCATCTTTCCCTATCGATGCACGATAGGTAGGTCAACGCTCACGATGGCGCTTTAACCTTCAGTCTCTTTTGCCTCTCAGTCCTCTTGTGCCTGGCTCGAGATTTCCTCATTCTTGATCTGAGGCAAATCGGGACTTTTACTGACTTTGATGCGAAGACTTCAACATCTTGAGGTGCCAAAGCCAGTACCTGACCACGCGCGCACGGGTTTCGTCCGTGTTTCTAAGGATCCCTATTGGCGATGGTTGGATACGAAGAGCCACCGTCCAAACCAAGTCTTCAATAAACATGCGATCCTGGACCGGGGTGACGCGATGGACTTCTGACGTGGAGGTAAGCAGACCATCAGCGTATCATGTACTCATGCCTACGGCTACTTCGTCCAGCCACTGGGATGAGGCAATTCAAAGCTTGCGGTTCTGTGACGTATCAGTGCTTCATTTGAGATATATGAGCGTATCGGAGGCGGTAATATGTTCACTCCTAGATGAAGGCGTCGACTGGGCGTCAGCTTCGCGATCCTCAAACCGAGCCTATTACACATGGCGGCTACAAACATCTGTTTGGTGATTGGTTGGTTTGAATGACGGGACTAGACGTTCACATTGCCAAGGTGGTGGTTGCATATCACAGTCGTGTGACCAAGTGTCGTTTCGAGCTTTCGTCTGCACTTAAGTCTCCCCAAAATTGCTAGGCTCAGCGCGTTGCAGTCGGTCGAGTACTTGGGCGAAACCATGCGGTAGCGGCACGATGGTCAAGTGGCAATATCACATTTATGAGAGTCATGCATTTTAGAATCTTTTCTCTTCAGAAGAATGCGAGGCCTCCAAAAAGTCAACTTTGCGAAGACCGTACTAATAATAAAGAGAAATAGCCTTCAATCCGGAACCCCCTCGTCGTTGCGCCCATGTCTTTTTTGGTCCTCTAGTGGTGTTTGGTTTAGGGGGAGAGGGAGATGCAGCCAGCGGAGCTGTCCTCCTGGAAGATGCCACCGTAGATGATACCCTCGTTGATGCCGGTGGGCTGGTCACCGCTCTTGGTGATGTCGGAGCCACCGTTGACGGGCTTCTTGAGCATACCGAAGTGGTACTGGCCCTGGCCGGCAATGTTGTTGGTGACAGCGGCGCCGGTTGACTTGAGAGCGGAGTTGCCCTGGGAGTAGAAGACCTCGGTGGTGCTGAAAGTCATGTTAGCGACCAGGCATAGAGAACAAAGTTGGGAGGTAGAACATACTTCTTGGTGAAGTCGAGCTTAATGGCAAAGTTGTGGAATACACCGGCAGTGAACTTGGTCTTGAAGAGCTCGGGGACGGGGCTGGAGTTGACGTTGCCGAAGAGCTGGAGGGTATCGGGGTCGGCGGTGTTCTGGCCGAGGATGGTACCGGTCTTGAGGACGACCTGGTTGGTGCTGAAGTCGGCGCTCTCGAGGAAGACGAGCTGGTACTCGTGGGACAGGTTCAGGGGACGCTGGGCATCCTTCTGCAGGGAGAAGTGCAGCGTCTTGATGCCCTGGGTCGAGGCGTCCTTGCCGTCGTTGCTGAGGGGCAGCATCTCGGCGCGGCGGAAGCCGACCTGGACATTGGTCTCGCTGGGGGCGAAGATGGATTTGTCGTTGATGGTGACCTCGAAGGGCTGGGTGGAGTTGACATCGAACTGGGGAATAGGGTGTTAGTTCAAACGCTTTCCGTAGACGACAATCCGGGAACCCAATCTGGTTCCGGACTGCTTCGCTCTCATGTCAAAACTTACCAGGGAGTTGCCGCCAGGGAGCTGGACAATCTCGCTGAACTTCAGGCCCTTGCCGAACACGTTGGCGGTGTTGAAAGGGCTGGAGGTGCTGTCGAAGTCGGCAGCCTTGAAGGTCTTGGGGATGCGGCCATCGAACTGGAGGGCGCACTGGGCCTTGGCACCGGGGGAGACGGCGCCGGTGTTGTTCTTGGGGGTGGTGCCGTCGCAAGCGGCCGCGGCGGCGGCGACGAGAGAGAGAAAGATGGTAGAAGCGAACATTGTTCCTAGGCCGGCTACGAGCGGGTGTATTTTTGTAAAAAAGAGTGTGGTGATTTGGAAATAAAGCGTCAAGATGAGACGAACGGAAAAGAATGTGAAAAGAACGTGAAAAGATGATCTACAGAAACTCAGAAGTCCGAGCAAGAAGGGATACAAGTTAAGACGGTGGGAACAGTTGACCATTTGTATGCCCACCACGGTCCCACGAATTGACCAGCATCGTCTGATCTGATCTGCCTTCCTCTGGGTGTCTGGCACGCGATTCCGAGATTTGGCTTTGGGTTTCGACATCCCGCAGTGGCTACCTCCTTCCAAGCTCTCCGCCCACCGTTTAGTGCTGCCCCTTACTCTCCAGAAACTTTTGAGTGCTGTCTGGGATTGAATGGGGTTCACTTGCAAGTTCCGTGTCATGCCCCCTTGGCATCTGTAACTCGGCGCGCCTCGTCAGCCTGAACCGTGCTGCTGGGTAAACTTGCAGTGATTTGGTGCTCCGTAGCTGTAGCCCTCTTCTCCTGGACGCAGAGAGAGGCAAGGTTACACCCCGTCAGAACCCAAATAGAGTTTCCCGCTGATTCAGTTTCGGAACCACCGCCCCGTTCGGGGTTGGGTGCACGGAGCTCAGGTCGGCCAGCCTGGGGAGAAGCCTGGGAGAGAACTTGCAGCGAACAAATCCAGCGGCGGAGGTCTGCGGGCGCGAGTCGTGTTAGATTGCCAGTGCCTGGTTTCCACGAAGAGCCTCGCTGAAAGTCCTAAAAACTCCGGACCTCCCGGCATCAACTGGGCACCGAGTCCCTCGCGCCACGTGGAGGAGTTGCAAAGCCGCAATATGGCGATGCCCCTGATATTAAGGGGATATTGGTACCAAGACAAAGTCTCTGCGCCCGGATTCGTTGGCTAAATAGCATCGTCGTTGCGTTCGTAGATCATTGCTTGCGTAATCTGGTGATGGGGTTCTCAATGGGGCCTGAGGTCCCGCACGATGCCGTCCGGTCACAGTCCGGATAGTTCAGGCGGAGTTTTATGACGAGATGGAACAAAGTATGTCTCCCAGTGGGCAGTTGCAAAGACTAAGTATAAACTGTTCCATGTGCAACTCCGCGACTGACAAACCTCAAACTTGGCTCAGAGCCCTGATACGCAGATCCCCTCTGCATCTCCGGCGTTGTTAACAAAGAACTCAAGAAAGTGTCCGGAGATGCCCACGAAACGTTCTCTTCAGACGGAAGAATAAACGAACACATCGGCCAATTGATCGAAAGTCGGCGCATGTGCAGGCGCAAAAACTCTCCCACTCTTTTCGTAAAGCCGAGCCGGCGGGAGGGAAATCCACAATCATATATTCAATGTTTCCAATATCCGCCAGCGGTTATTAACAGTGAAACTCTATATCGCCAAGGCTAGTCTGAGACGCCCTAACATAGCGACGATATCACCCTTCTGGCGACCCGACAACCGAAAACGTTCTAGAATGGGTCAGCAGAGCTGCCAATCTTGGTGTCGGAGATCGAGCTACTATGCTCTTTTCCCACGTCGGCGGGAACGTCAAATAAACAACGTCTTTCGCCCTCAAACTGGTGGTTCCCGCGGGTTATAGAACGCCGTCGGGAACACTTACACGGCCACTAACGCCTGTGGATACAGTGGAGTTATTGACAGAGGTAGTGGCACTTGATTTGAGACAGGGTTGCGCGCGCTCAATTATTCTGCCTTGGCGTGGTGCGTAGTTCCGCTTAGTCACTGCAACTCGCTCTATAATTCGACTCTTTGTGCCGAGATGGTTACTGAACTGGCTTTGTTAGACCGTTACATGCGACGAACATTTCGTTCGAAGCTCGCTTCAATTGCGCTCAAATTGACGCGGCGACGTGTTCAGATTACAGTACAGCGTTTTGAGACGAACAAATCTTGTCTGATCATAAAGTGTCATCATATTTCTGCCCACGCTCGTGAGTCGTGGCCCGTCTCTCCAGAAGCTTTGATCCAACAAAAATAGGGACATCTTTGAAGAAGCATTCACGGGATCCACATGCGTGAAGGATCGATAGCCAAAAAATCCCACTGATGATCTCCCGACAAGGCCCGAAGCTACCACGCCGCAATGGAATCCGTGCAGCATTCGGTTGACCTGGCTATATAAGAGCAAGCACTCATAATAGAGTAGTTGATTATACTAACCTTCGTTTCTTGCCCATAGCCGTAACTCAGTTGTGTAGGAGATGCGGCCATGCATTTAATGGAGGTGGTTCAGGAGATGGACCCTGAAAACATCATATTGAAGCCTAAGTCCCCAGAAGCTGGACGCGTTACGCAAGACGGATTTTGAGTGGCCAACTTGGAGAGCTTGATAGAGCTGGGAATTCGAACGGACTATGAGGCCGCAGGGACATGATGAAAGTCCTTGAAGGACAGGAGTTTTGAATCACGATTCGCAGCCCACGAAACCAGAGGTCCGATGGTTGGATATTCGAGCGCCCCCTCAAGTTCCCCGAGAAACTCTTGACCAATGGGTCATGGATCTTCGTGCTCATCGCCAATTCAGCTCTCAGTGAGGAATCCGTGATTCGTGTTGAAGTTGTTACTACCTGTCAAGGAGAGGTAAACCCCCAAAGCCAACCATCATCATTCCTTGACTGCAACCATCAGTGACTTCTTGCAAGAGAAAAGTACTCGAAAGCGGTACCCTGCTCGAGCTGAGTCCCTCAGCCTCAGGAGTTAAAAGGAGACAGTCTCATAACATCAACAATGAAGACTTGTGGTTCTAGAGAAACACCATAAAGTATGCATTTAGAAATGGAGCATCGAGATCATAGCAAACTCACGTAGCTTCGAGGGGAAATCAAAGTTACCGCCCACTCTTGAAGAACCTTCTCTCATTATCAGATCCTCGGACCAAGAAAGCATCTCATACCAAGATGTCTAGCGGAAACAATGACCCAGACCATGCAACAAAGCAGGCATACCCCAAAACATCATCTCTCATCATAGAGAATGCATAACACAAACCCTCAACTCCAACTTCGCCAACCTGTCGAACTATGAAGTGCCTATGCAGTCACTAGCATTAGGATAGAGCAAGTATAATAGACGCAGGAGAAAGTTCTCGAGATTAAAGTATAGAGGTAAAGAAGGGCAAGGGGGTCAAGTTGGTGGATAGCGGAGTGACACATCGCGCGTGGTGTTGTCTGGCGTTAGGACTTATGACCATCAGCCAAATCCCATGAACCATGTTAGATGCTCATGATGGAGCCTCAGAAGTAGAACTTAGAGAAGTCGTCTCTGTTGGCAACTATAGTAGGAAGTAAGATATCGGAGAGCTGAAGAGACGGATACTTACACGAATCGATTATTATACGTCTTATAGAGACGGGACTCAAGAGTGCCTCATATCCTTGCCCTAAACCCCATATACCATCCATAAAGCTGCCCTATGAACACAAAAAGCGCACATAAAATCTTCATAGCAGAATGAAAACATCGATTAATGGTATCTGGTGATATCTTCAGAAACGAAAAAGGCCATGTCCCCCATCCTTCGCCATGCAACGCCACTTGATGCCAATCATCAAAGAACAAAGAGAAGCAACAATGAAAGCCAACGATAAGAACACATCCGTATCTCAATAACCAGTTCATCGCTCCTTGAGAAGCTCAAACATGCCTCCTCTTCTTCAACCACCTCTTCACAATATACCGATACGCAGCCGCCTCAGCAGGCCCAACAGCGACACGATAAACACTCGACCTACGGCTATCACGCCCCGCCGTCGTCACCACCGCCGCCGCATTCGTCCTCGTCAGTAGAGCCACGGACCTGGAAGAGGGGTGTGTAAGCGGCGGTGGTCGGTAACAGGACCCGACGACGACGTTTTCAGCCTGCCGGGCCCTCTGCTGCTTCTGCTGCTTCTGGGTTTCCGCACCTTTGATGAAGTTTGTCTCCTGTTCCCAGTGCGTTGGGATACGGAGGACTTTGCTGTGGATGACGTTCATGGCGAGGACTGCGTCTTCTGCGCGGACGACGAGACTGGGGTGACGTTGGTTAGCATGGGTGATGAGCTGAGGAGGGAGTTCGACGAGGTGCCAAGGGAGAATTAGACTTACGATATGTTGATCTCGCTTGCTCCTTGGCTGACCATGAAGATGTTGATCTTGGCGGATGCTAGGGCGGACATGATCTCTGCTGATATGCCGACCATGTTCCTCATTTTGTGCCCAACGATAGTGACGATGGACATGTTTTCTGTGATAATCACCTGCATGCACGGCATCTTTGGTCAGTCCTGAATTTCACGGAGAAAAGCATGTATGACTGAACTGTCTCGAGGTGTGAAAGCATTACCTTTCCAAACTTTTCCAGCTCAACTCTCAGCCTCTGATGTTGACAAGAGCCCTCTTCGGAATGCTGAAACGCGAGACTAACGCTGCGCTCGCTAGTAGTGACGAGATCTGTCTTGATTCCCGCATCCTCGAGGCGATCAAAAACGCCGGACAGGAACCCTTGAGACTTGGTGTTTCTATTGCAAACCACATTGACCAAGAGGATATCGTCTTTAACTGTGACGGCGGTAGGTCGCCTTCTCTCTTGCCGATCGCCGTGATAACCATTCCCCAACATGTAGTCAATGGAGGGCAAAGGGACCTTGATATCGACCTTTTCGTCTGTTGGTGTTGGAGGAGTAAGGGGCGGGGAGGGGGTTCGAGAGGGGTAGATGATCGTGCCGGATGCCGTTGGGTTGAAGACATTCTTCAGTCTCAAGGGAATGTTGGCGCAACGTATTTGATCCATTGTCAAGGGATGTATAACTTCGCTCCCGTAGTACGTCAACTCTGTAGCTTCCTCCGACGTGACTGTGGACAATAGTCTTGCTGACGGGACCTTTCTCGGATCCGCAGTGAAGATCCCATCAACCTCTTTCCAGATCTGAAGTTCCGCCGCTTTGGTTCCCACCGCACACATAGCCGCACAAAGGTCCGAGTATCCCCGGCCGACGTTCTTGAGCAGCGAGTCTGGCATGATGCCAAAGAAGCCGGTGACGATGGGAACATGGTCGCCGCAGTCATGTATCCTCTTGGTGATCTCGTCTGCAATGAGGTGATAGAACCGAGGGCCGAGGTTGTCCAGTGCCGTCTTCTGGTCGAACACACTAGCACCGAACACTGCCTCAACTATGTCTTCTAGGATGATAGGTTCGGCCGGGATATTTCTGCTACAGAGAAACGCAGCTACAACTCTGCACGCAAGCTTCTCTCCGAGAGCGATGACACGGTCCCGTGCCCTTGGAGATAGCTCCCCGATGATCTGTGCTGCCAAAAGGAAGCCTCGAAGGCTCTCGCACTCCTTTACAATGAGGGTCTTTGTAGAGTCGAAGATGTCGTTACACAAGTCACTTCTTGTGCCATTGGAGTTGACGAGATGCTTCTCGAGAAGCCGGACATGACTATCCCGAATGGCATCAATGTTCTTGTTGAGCAGCGTCTGCGCAGAGAGTCCGGCCTCAGCGTGTGATACGCATTCAAGCAACAGGCTTGTGGTTCCGCTCGACTTGGTGGAACCGGAGAGGGCCGAGCAGACGACAACCAGGTTGTAGTCTCGCAGGTAGGATGGGACGATTTTGCTGCAGATCGACTCGAGGAGTTTTCCAAGGCTAGTGCCACCGTACTTCTGCACCAGCCATGGCCTGTTTTCTCTGGAGGTCTCCATGGTTGGCGGTGGGACTAGGCAGACTGGAGGATGGCAGACCTGTCTTGCGCGCGTGGGACAGTGGAAGGGGTCAGTCGAGCGGGAGCCGAAGAGCTGTGGACCTTGTTCGATTCAAATTGAAATGTGCTCAAGTAACTTGGCCTTATTAAACTCCATATATCGTCGTGTTTTCCAGCCGCAGAAACTCAGTCGACACTCCTTTCATGGGATGGATTGCAAAGCATGACGGCAAGTAGGCGATGGGCGACTCTACATCCGGCGACGACTTTGGTCGAAGGGGGACTCGAGGTCGGCGACGGACGCACTCCTTCGGCCAGTATCCCAGTGTCCATTGCGGAATGGAGAATTGCGCATTTCCACACCTTCGAGGCATATTTCCCAGAGAGTTACTGCTATTGGAGATGCTGTTCGGGATGGGTGGAGTTTGTCCGTCGGTGAGTGCTGCATGATCGTGGGCCAAATCCCGACTCGGGGTTTGAAGACCAGAAGCCACTATGACAACGGGATTCAGCCGCTCGGCGACTGCGCAAAACAGCTTCGCTCCATCGGTTTCGGCGCGGCGTTGTTGGTCTTTGGCGCGAGCTCAAAGTATAGCGGCATTTGGTCGGCGCGAAGTTGGCTGGTGCTAAATGTGGGATGACATATTCTGCAATCTGCGGCCGCCACCATCCATGTATGTGATTGTGTAAGTGACATCGGCGGTGATTGACCCTCGGACGAGTCGCCTGTCATTACCCCCCGCCAACCAATGAATTACTTCGACAGGAGGAGCTGACAAGCATCTATGTCGGCTGCTCCCGTTGCAGACAGAGAAAGCTGCAGGCACGTTGAACAAGGGCTTCTTCCATCCTAGTCACACTCGAAGGCATCTATGCTAGCTCCAGCTAGACTTCGTGGCGCTGGTCGATCATGGAGTACGTGCCGCTTCAACTCACACTGTAGAGAAGCATTGGCCGCCATTCTCACCATCTAAACTGTGCATAGGAGACGATGCATTTGCTATGAGAATATTTTCCCTCGACCTCAGCGTAGATAATTTGGCATCTGTTTGCCACATCATGTTCGATATGCTTGCAAGTAATTTGATGATCTGAATATCAATTCGTTGAGATATCATTGCTGTCTTTGGTCGACAGTCCTGAATCCATGTCTGGAAAGAAAATCGCTTCGAAGGCAGAGGTAATTCCACCCGTCCTGTTCTCTGCCTTCCCGCCACATGACGATGAAGCAACCGGTAGAAATTGGGGCGCATTGAAACGCTGTGTGAGCAGGCAAAAAGCCTCTCATCTACGTCGTGTGTGTTTGTTGACGTGGTAAAGCCGCTGTCAAAGGCTGCCGATAACTTTGCCTAGCGTCCCGTCCATCTGAAGGATGCCCCTAAATTCGGGCTTTGACCTAAAGCCTGAGCTACCTAGACAGCTCTACCAATCTTCGACTTCGCCCGTCAAGCTTTCCCCAGCCTCGTCTATCGCAAGAAGGTCTAGCGATTCATCTGACTCATGTATCATGTCATAGAGATTCGGCAACTGAGATCTTAGCTGGGCTTGGATCAAGGTATCGAGCTGCTCAAACTCGAGTAGGAAACCGTCATGTCCATCAGATGACTTGAGAACGTGTAATGATGCACCAGGTAAGTTGGTGGCAAGCCGCTCTTGCTGCTTAGGGAGGAAAAGCGCATCGGTCTCCACGCCAATGACCAAGGCTCCCGGCGGTACTCGAGACAACACCTCCGCCAAGCCTTCATCGCCCGATGGTTGCGTCCGGCCATAGGTGACGTCGTGGCTGTCCATCTTGTTGGTGATGTGCAAATAACAATTGGCATCAAACCTATTAATAAACTTCTCTCCCTGATAGTGTAGGTATCCCTGGGCCGAAAATGATGGATTTTGTTTCCGCTGCGAGCCTCTGTCTCTCCTGGGTCTTGGCATTTCCATGATGGACGCGTCTGTCCTCGGAAGATCCAAAGGTGGCTCCTGAGGTATCTGGGGATTTCGTGGAGGTTTTCTCCCGAAGCGGCTATCGAAACTCGTGCAAGAACGATATGTCAGCATGGCAATCATCCGAGCTGCTGCAAGTCCTGCTGAGGGTTGGCCTTCCGGGATCGGCTCATAGTATCCATCGTCGTACTTTGGGTCGGAGTAAATGCACTGTCGTTGGGTTTCAGCCCAAGATATGCCCCAGGCAGAGTGATCAGCAGCCGTAGCAATAGGAACAATGTTTCGGACAAAACCAGATGGTGTACAGAGAGGCCATTCTAGAGTTGTCATGCCACCCATAGAGCCTCCAATGACGGCTGCTACCGACTTGACACCAAGAGCATCAAGCACCATCTTGTGTGCTCTGACATCGTCTCTGACCGTCGTCTGGGGGAACTCGCTGGCATACCGTTGGCCAGTACCTGGATTAATGGTCAAAGGAGACGCACTTCCGTAGGGGGAGCCCAGGACATTGCCACAGAAGATGAAGAAGTGTCGAGGGTCAAAGGCTTTCCCAGGTCCTATGAGGGGGCTCCACCAGTCGCTCACATCACTGCTCCCCGTCAGAGCGTGGCATATGACCAGAGCATTGTCGCTTGGCTCGTTCAATTTTCCCCATGTTTTGTATGCGATTGGGCAGTCAAAGAGTTCTTCTCCTGACTCCAGCGGGAATGTTGGAATGACGGCGAATCTTTGCCCTCGAATGAGCCGGGAATAGAAGTTGTCGGGATTCGGATCAGAGTCGAGTACTAGTGATTGTAGTCAGTCAGAGGAGACTATTTGCTTGAGCCAAACATTTATTTAACACTCACAGAGAACCATCTTCAGACCTGTGAAGCGTTGGATGAACCCCCGAATGATTTACAATTGTACGTCGCCGTTATGTAGATCGTGTGGTGGTGATGGTTTAGGTATTGCACACGGCACGAAGTCGAGTTCAATGACAGATTTATTCTTCAAATTTGACCGGACGAACTTGCTTCCAAATAGCTGCACCTTTTGCGGAACTAAATGTAGATGTCGTATTGTTCTTCTCAAGTTTAAGACGCTGAAGTTCCAGACAGTTACTGGCTCTCACTGCAAGCAAGTGCCGTCAGTCAGCCAGAGGAAGCCTCAGCAACCGCCGCCAACCGTTCCCCACGGCACAGTCTCGGACTTTCAACCCTTGATACCAAGAGCTGCCTACTTCGTTGTTTCGCATACCCCTATCATCTATCGATGAAGGCTTCGTTGGCGGATCATCAACTCGACCTCCGCGAGCCGGGATTTGAAGACGTTCCGGGATTTGAGCCATAATCCCGACGATCCAAACTCCGGGTTATCAATGTTGCCTCTTTTCCGGATTATCCCGGATGCATACGGCAGAATCGACGATCTCGAACGATAGTAAGGCCATCCAGTAATAACGACGCCCTGTTGTGACGTGAGTCACGATGGGTCACATAGAGGGAGGTCCTTGAAAGCCATAACTGTTGGCACAGTGGCACCTTAGTCGCCAATCCCAGGACCTACCAAAGATTTCAAGCTATACGTGATTGAAAATGGTATCCACTCGTCCTATTGTCAAGGTTGCGGCTGTCCAGGCCGCACCTGTTTCCTTTGATCTGGAAACGAGTCTGCAGAAGCTGAGTAAGCTTACAGAGGAAGCTGCCCAAGCCGGTGCAGACTTGGTTGTATTCCCGTAAGTCCACAATGCTGTTGGTTCCGGAAGATACCGCTAAAAGCTTGAAGTGAAGGGTTCTTGTCTGCGTATCCATGGAGATACGCGTTTGACGCAACGATTGGTGCCCGAGAGCCGCGAGGTAGACTTGTGGACACCTATCCAAATAGGTAGAGGGCGCCGCTAATTCCTGAATCCTAGGACGCGAGTGGTATGCCAAGTACGTTGATTCGGCCGTCGAGGTTCCCTCTCCCGCCTTCGATAGGCTTTGTGAAACAGCCAAGGCAAACGACGTCCTCCTTCATGTGGGAATTATTGAAAAGGCAGGCGGTACGCTGTACTGCACTGCTTTGCTTCTAGACCGGGAGGGGAAGCTGGTGTATAAGCATCGCAAGGTGACACAGCCGATCCATCAAGCCATGTTCGAGACTAACAAGCTTAAGCTCATTCCAACGGCCGCTGAGAGACTTGTTTGGGGTCGAGGCGCCGGAGATGGCCTATTAGTCAAGCCAACGGATGTTGGCAGAGTCGGAAGCTTGATCTGGTTGGCTGCTCCTATTTCTAAGCGTATTTATGGAAAAACATGCTGATCAAGACGTAGCTGGGAGAATTATATGCCGGCGGCTCGTATGGCGATGTACCAGCAAGGCATCGAGTACGTGGATCTGTTCCGGTGTCAAAGGGAGAAACAGTCGCTGACGTTGACAACCCACACTCGATAGGATTTACGTGGCGCCCCACGCCGATGATTTGGCCACCTGGACAGCATCGATGCAGCATATTGCGAAGGAAGGGCGATGCTTTGTAGTGTCTGTCAACTCGTTCTGCAAAGTATCGGACTTCCCGCCTGACTACCCGCCTTTTACGGCCGAACACCCCGATCGGAGGCCGGACGGAGCACAATGGGAGGCGGATGATATTCTCAACCACGGTGGCTCATGCATCGTCGGGCCGCTGGGCACATTTCTTGCCGAGCCGGTGTGGGACAAGGAAGAGATTGTCTATGCCAGCCTCCGAATGGCAGACATCACGGAGTCCAAGGTAAGTTCCCCGATACAGGCTGCGGCCATCCGCTAGTCATGAGATAGATTCCAAACTAACGGCGCCTTGCAGCTGGACTTTGACCCCATCGGCAGCTACTCCCGGCCCGACATCTTGTAAGTGGTCCCTTTTACGACATTAACAAGTGACAAGCCAGACAACCCTGGATGTGATGTGCGCCGATCCAAAGCTGACAAGTCGTCTCAGTTCATTGACGGTCAACACCAAGCCGGCCGACAACGTCGTATTCACCAGCTGATGTCCCATGCGTATTGAGCATGTTTGCGGGCAACGGCGGCGTGGGGGTGTGAACGGCAGGCGGGGTGCGGTGCGGAGTGACCAGGATGTTGTGCGCTCGCGATTTATGGGACCTGACTCAGAGCTTGGGTGTTGGAGGTTCCGAGTACCTTGTTATCAAAGAAAGTTAATTCTTTCTGAATCACAAGTACAAGAATACAGTTTTAATAAAACAGTATAGTACCCACCCAGCACTTAAATTAAGATACTTTTTTAAGCTTACTATAAGAGAAAGATAACTATACTACTAACTACCTGCTATCGAGGTCCGTAAGTAGCACTATAGCTTCAATCGCTATAGCTTTAACCGTAATAGCTTCGCCCGTAATAGGCAAAAAGTCTAGTTATAAGTCCCTTAAAAGCCTCTTATTAAGAGCTATAAGAGCCTCCGAGTTGAGTTAAAATACTTACTAAAATACTAATAACCAAACTAACCCTACGATAACGACCTTAATAAAAGACCTAAAGAAAAACGCTAGAATCCTTACCGTCGTTAGGCACGATTTACAAAGCGTAATAACGCAGCCGCAGAGCATCGCTAATATATCCTACGCTAAGAAGGGCATCATTAGCACTAACGAGACGGATAGGGCCGTGTCAATATAGCGCCTCGGCTTCCTCCTATAGCTCGAGGATAATCACCTTAGATAGCATTAGAAGTCTATTAAAAAGCTCTCTCGAGTACTCCGGCATATCCACTACTATCTCCGCGATAGCAAGACTCCCAGCGCCTACGCATAAGAGTGGGTTACCTACCTCTAGATAGTAATACTAGCCTACTAACAAGCTATCGAAACTGCGATTCTGGCGATCCCTTGACGAGGGAGAGGGTAGAATAGAGGAAAGGATAGGAGAGAAAAGGGTTAAGGTTGAACAGTGCGGAATTCGAGGGCAGGGTAGCGTCTACATATACTGCGGCAATCCTCTAGTAATGCAAAACGATGGAGTTAAACAGTGGGGTGTTGGAGGTTGCTCGGCTGCAGGGTCAGGAATGCCAGCCAGGCTTGAGGCGAGACGGCGATGTTGGTTGGTCGCACCAAAGTTCGAGAAGCTTTTCTAGATGTCCAAGCGAGCAAGTTGGTCCGACGATGTTTGACGCAGAGGCATGCCACCCATTTTTGTGTGTAGCCAAAATGGTCTCGGCTCATTATGTCGTACACAGTCGACAGTGATGCCTTGCTGGGTAGAAGCGGCTTGTCAGCGTTGATAGGCTGAAGCTTTGATCTTGGATGCATCGGATACTTGAAGATGAGATGGCATCCTGATTGGAACACACTGCCTCGTATTGAGTGAACGTCTCGGAAGGAATACGTGAGAAGTCTGATCCAAAGCTTAGATGCTGACGAAGAGCTACTAATCAATTCTGTTCTTGGTCGAGTAAGAGAGAAGGGAGACCGAAACGTGATGTCGAGACGTTCCGAGCTGTGGTTCAATGGAATCCTGCGGTGCTGCTAGTACAACTGGCGGTGGCATAGCTGGCATAATTGGTTGCTAGTCATGCTGCAATTCGTTTCCACAACCGCTTGGAGTACTAGAACAGGGAAAGGCGACCATTCGGACATTTGATGGGGACACAGAGAAGAGCTGCGGAGTATTCTGTAGAAATGCGGAATTGACGTCAAAAAGTCGTGTGCTCGGGCTCTGAAGTCGGGTGTTAGGGACGCGGCGCCAACGGCGAGCAGACGGCGAGACCGCAGCAGGAAGGAACGGCAGGTCCCATGCACCTGAGGAGGCGAATGTAGGTAGGTACCTTCCGTGCGTGAATGCCACCATGCCAGGCGAGCGACGGTCGGGTTGTGTGATTGTGTCAGGTCAAGTCAGGAACGGGGGTGATTTGGCTGCTTAGGAAGGCAAGAGCAATGAGCATCCACGCACCCACGGCACCTTCTCTCAGAGAGTGTTACACAGTAGAGACAGGAGGTAGAGAGAGAGACTACATGGTACTGTGCGACTTGAGAAAGTTTGCTGTGCGTGATCCCTGTCCAAAGACCGGCCCAGCCAGCTGCAACACTGTGCGCAAGTTTTTCTCATTGGGCCAGGTCGTCGGTACGTATATCACGACTTTGGTGCTTCTAGGTAGCCAATGCGATTGGCCAACTCTGTCGTCTATCCAGGAATTTTCTCCACTGACTTCCCCACCCTGCCCTTCGCCCCGGGACAGTGACACCCACGCACCTTCTCCATCTCAACTCCCGAGAGAGAGGAAGGAGGGGAGGAAAGAATTCGAAAGGATACAGAGGCGTGAGAGGGAAAGGCAGAAGCGAGCGAGAGAGGGACCAAAACAGAAAAAGTACATGCACAATTCCCAATGATCCAAGACAGCCCTGCCTCTTTGCCTGGTCTTTTGAAAATTGAAAGTCGCAGCGTGCCGTCCTAGCCCTGTCACGATCGAACGATCCGCAGGTCGCCTTCCCCCACCCTTCCCTGTCCAGTCAAACTGCTGCCGGCCGTGCCTTCTCCTTACAAATCCCACCCGGTCGCCGCATTTTGCCCCTCTGTCGCCGACTTGAGAAGGAAAGGCACGAAGCAACGGGAAACAGTAACAGCTCCTGCCTGCACTTGCACCGTACCCAAGCCGACCTGCATCTGCACCTGCCTACGCCTGAGCGCCTGCCTGCATCAGCAGCCCAGCACCTGCCTGCGACCACCCGCACACCGTACCTGAGGTTTTTGGGTAGGTATCACCAAACAGCAAAGGAAACTACGACTGCAATTGCACCTGGCCAGCTGGCGACACCGGCCGCGACAACCTTCCCACCTGTCGCCTCTTCTTCTCCCCTCCGTTTTTGCTGTCCAACTGTCAACACCCTCGAAGCTCCAGTTCACTCTCCGGCCCGGCCGTGGCAGACATCCAGTCATCCACACCTCGACTCACCCAGCGCTTCCCCCTGTGTCGCTGCCATTTCATCTTATTACGTACCGAATCCCGCGATACCGACGTTTCTGCGCGCCGTCTCGAGTCCAGACACCTTATTAACCCGTGGATCGCGCAAACAAGGCCCCAAGCCCGGTCGACTCCGCCCCCGCTCCGTGTGACAATCCCCGATCCGCCCGGAAGGATTCTTGTCTCCCTCAGTTTTGCCTCCCGTAGCCATCGGTCTCTCTCCGACCAACGCAGTTGACCTCACTTGATCTCGTCCGTATATCCTTATTGTTACATTCGGTCATGAGCACAATGACAGAAGCCGTTGTACCTCCTGGCCCGGCTTCCGCAGCTAAGAAGAAGTTTGCTACGCCCCCGGTAAAGATTGCGTGTCTCGCCTGGTAAGCCTTTCTCATCTACTACTCATCGAGAGGGAGTATTGGTCAAAGTAGCGGTCGTGTCTTGACCGACGACTTTGACCAAGACGCACACATCTCGGATCTGTTACTCACAAATACATAGTCGAGCTTCCCGTACACGATGCGATGGAGCAAGCCCATGTGCTAGTGTAAGTCTCTATCTCCGGCTCGACCCATTGCTCCAGTCATGCAGGAGAAAGAGCGACTGACATGATGTAGTGTAAAAGTAGGGGGCGCGATTGCGTCTTCAAGCCCAGCAGAAGAGGCGGCGCCCGCGTGAGGCGAAAGCCGCGGCCGGCTGAAGAGCTGGCTCAGCAGGTTCAGGCGTTCAATGGCGAGATGCCTCCAGACGAGGTCACTCATCAAGATCGTGAGTCTTTGCGCTTGGGATCCTCGTCCGAGCAGCTCTTGACCGATGCTACAGCCATCTCTGTTCAAAACTACATCGACCCTGGCGCGGGCTTGAAGCAGTTGCAGGACTTCTTCCAAGATAGCGACTTCATCTTCGATACTCTCTTCATGTCGGGCGTTCCTGGCAGTACCAGCGGCGAGAGCGCATCCGAACACTCATTTACCTTTCCAACGCCTCAAATCCCAGTCGCCAGAACGTATAAGAGTGACCAAGCCATGTAAGAAAAGCAGAGATCCCTTTCCTGCATCTCCAAGAGAATGCTAAAATTGACGACCAAACAGCCTCGATGCGTACTACATCTTTATCCACCCCTTCTTCCCTATTCTTCCTGCTCCTTCCGGCCTGCCTATGGATCAAGCTGTTCCACACTTTCAAAATGACACGGAAGGCTTCGCAGACGAATATCAGCCATCAACGCCGATCAGTCTGGCCATCTCTGCAATCCTCGCCTTGATCCCGTATCACAACGATACCAACCATCTCAACAAGGAGTCAGTAATCTTCCGCCGGAGGTATGCGCAATACCTAGCACAATGCGCCATCGAAAGCATCGAGATTGAGTCAGAAATCCCGGATTCGTCTATTGAGCCGCCTAAGGCGCTCAACGAATCTCCAGACGACTTCCCCAGGCAGCAATTCCACCCAGGCGTGCCTATCGAGCTGGAGAGTATAATCGCTTTGGATATCCTTAGTGTGTATGAGTATGCGCAACGGGGCAATCTGAAGAAGATGCAGGCGCGAGCAGGCCAAGCCCTGGTTGCTGCCATGTCTTTGTCCATCCACACTTGCGCCGAAGAGGATGCATTCTCAGAAGCGAGGCGGAGGGTTTGGTGGATGACGGTGCGTTCCTCTTGCTCTGCTGCACAACACAGCTTGCTGACGATGATTACAGTACATCTGCGTTTGTCAGGGATCGATTGTCAGCAACTCGGTAAGTCCTCGTAGTCACGCAATAGGAGCAAATATTCACCTGCCATCTAGGAACCAACATTCTCAGTGTTCACCCCCAGCTACACTGCCAAATACCCCGTGATACAGTCGGATCCCGAGGTATGTATCATGACGAATTAGCTACGATGGATGCTGACCATTTTCTAGGCTTTTGCCGTCTACATACAGGCACAGCAAGCGATCCTGTCAGCAACCCAATTTGTCATCGAGCTAAACAAGACTGTAAAGTCCGGTGGTGACATGGCACGAATCTATGCGCGCATGAAGGAAATGGAGGCATACCTCGAACCCCTCAACACCATGGCCGACTCTTGGATCCTTCAGTCAACCACAACAACGCCACTGGATCCTACGGAGGAGGTCTTGTCCCGCTCCCTCCGCTGCATGGCTCGAATCAAACTTAACAGGTAAGAATCTACATCTCCTTCCAGATCAGGTGCAATTGCTGACGACCAACAGCGCACGAATCAAACTCCACCGATACTGCGCTTTCTTTGACATGCCCGTCTTTTCCGGCAAGTACTGCGATCTCAAGTCCAAAGCCGACAACGATGCCAACATGGAGCCACGGAGCTGGCCATCATGCTCTTGCAGCTCCATGATGAGCTTGCCATCACCACCAGTGGCCATATCAAACGGATCGACTACGCCACCGGGGAAGAAGTCTCCTCACTCGGAACATTCGCCCAGCAGCCAATCGCCAGCGACGTTTCCCTTTAGCAGTCACCAGTCGGCCAAAATCTGTCTCAAAGCAGCCATCAACATCTCACAATCCTTTGATGACCTGCCGTATCCCAATCCCTTTGGTCAGCTATGCCCCGCTCCTTGCTATCTCGCCCCCACATCAACAATCGTATGTCCGAGGACGATGCCCTCGTTTGCTTGCTGTGCTATGCAATGCGCGTACGCGTTGCTTATGGTCAATCACAAGACCAAGGCCATGTACCCGGAGAACGCACTAGCCACTCCGATGGTGGAAAGCCTCCTGATGCGACTGCAGACGGGTTTGGCCTCTATCTCGGCGACACTGGAAAATTATGCCACGGCGTTTGAAGCACTTGGTGGGATGCGCGGTAAGGAAACCCCTCAAAATTTTCAGACTTGGCTTGCCCCTTGTCATTTGGCCCATTGCTTTTTTCGTTGTTGCTAACGTCATGCCGCAGACCAAATTCGGAGTGTCATCGAACCCACCATGATGTTTGACGGACCGGTCCAGTAATGGCCCGATCGGCATTTCGCCTCCAGTTTATCCCCAGTCTATCTGCAGACTGCCTAGTGCCTCGCATCTCGCCGGGCGCCCGCATTGTTCTGTTTCTAACGGCATCTGACGACATCCCGATATGGGATCTGAACACGGCCTCTGGGTGGAGTCTCGGGAACGTCTGGGAAAAAGGGGGGAGGGGGGGTTTTGCGGGGTTTGCTCACTTATCAGCAAAGACCGGAGATCGAGAGAGCTCCGACATGCAACAAGCCGCAATCTGTGCACCCATCTGAGGGGTATCGAACGACTGAAACGAAGTGATGCATTTGCTCCAAGGGCGTTGAGGAAACATTTAAGATTTTGTCATTTGCCATGATGGGACGACAAAAAGTTGAAACGGCAGCTTTCAACAGAGAATTCGGAGTTGGACCAGGAACCGGAACGAACTATTAGACTACTACCCCTCTCAAAACATATTTTTACCACCTTCAAAATGCCTGTGTCCGGATCTCTTAGCAACGTGGACTGGTGAGAAGCCCGTTCGGCCTTTGCCTTGATACACATTGCTACTTGAAGCTAACAACAATGGCCAACTAGGGAACCAAGCTTCTCCACGCTTGCAGTTCACGGCGGCCAAGAGCCCGACCCAGTCAACGGCTCCCGAGCTGTGCCTCTGTACCAAACAGCCGCCTACAACTTTACAGATGCCGCAGGTCAGTAGCTTCATCCTCGGACCGATCACGCAATACATGTATGCATCTACTGACGTCGGAGTACAGATGGCGCCAGCAAGTTCGCATGGAGCAAAGATGGCTACGTCTACACGCGTATGGGCAATCCGACCAACAGTGTCTTCGAGACGCGCATGGCTATGCTCGAGGGCGGCGTAGGTGCGGTAGCCGCGGCGTCAGGCCACGCTGCGCAGTTCATGGCCCTGACCAACTGCTGCGAGCCGGGCCAGAACTTTGTCAGCACCAGCTGGCTGTACGGCGGCACGTACAACCAGTTTCGTGTGTACATGAAGAAGTTCAAAATCGACGTCAAGTGGGTCGTTGGCAATGAGCCCGCCGACATTGACGCCGCCATTGACGAGAACACACGATGCGTCTACATTGAGACGATCAGCAACCCGAAGCACAGCGTCCCGGATATCAAGGCCATTGCGGACGTGGCGCACAAGCACGGCATTCCCCTCATCGTGGACAACACCTTCGGCATGGGCGGGTACCTGTGCCAGCCCATCAAGCAGGGCGCCGACATTGTCACACACTCTGCTACGAAGTGGATCGGTGGCCATGGCACGTCGATGGGCGGCATCGTCATCGACGGCGGCCACTTTGACTGGAGTGCGTCAGGCAAGTTCCCCGGGTTCACGGAGCCGGCGGACGGATACCACGGGCTCAAGTTCTGGGAGACGTACAGGTACAAGGCGCTCTCGGCAAAGCTGCGGATGGACAGCATGCGTGATCTTGGACCGTGCCTGAGTCCCTTCAACGCATGGCTCCTGCTCCAGGGCCTGGAGACACTTGCTCTGAGAGGAGAGAGGCACGCCGAGAACACGCAGAAGCTTGCCGAGTGGCTCGAGGCACACCCTAGCGTCAACTGGGTGCTATACCCTGGCCTCAAGTCACACCCCGACTACGAATACACCAAGAGGGTGTTTACCAATGGTGCGGGTGGTGTCTTGACCTTTGGCGTTGTAAGTTGACCACAAAGCACAGTCCCAGCTAAATCGCAGTCGCTAACCATCCCGAATCCAGGCCGGAAACATCGAACAAGTCCGCTCCGTCGTCGACAACCTCAAGCTCTGCTCGCACCTGGCCAATGTGGGCGACGCAAAGACGCTCATCATCCACCCCTGGGTGACAACGCACCAGCAGCTCCCTGATGAGGAAAAGATCAAAGGCGGCGTCACCCCGGACCTCATCCGCGTGTCGGTCGGTATTGAAGGGTTCGAAGATATCAAGAAGGATTTTGAGCAGGCGTTTGACAAGGCCGGGTTGCCGGCGGCGACCAAGGCGGGCGGGGATCCGTTCTCCAAGGCGCTGAACCTCGTTTCGGGCGGGTTCATGGGGAAGGCGTCGACGGGCGCGCCTAGGCCTGGGACGGATGGGACTATTTCTGTTAAGGCTTGAGGTGTTGCTTGGGAAGCGTGACTTTGGGAGGTTCTTTGATTTTGTGTCTGGGCGTGTAGGCGGATTGGAAGATGAGTTCCATGTGTAGGAAAGAACTATGGTAGATACCTAGACAATATGGCTGCTCAGGACAGCAATGTGACGATCATCTTGACTACTTGAGTAAGCACTTCATGCACGTTTGCGATGAATGTTGCCGGCGGGCGTGAGACTGCGGTATCACAACATTCGCAATCCCCTTGCACGGCTTTCTTGGGGTGGTACCTGAAAAGTACCTCAGGTAGGTAAGCAGTCGCTTGTGTGGTAGGAGGCACAGGCATGGACACTCGCGCTTGCCAAATGACCTTGAGCTGCGATACCCCTCTGTCCCGTCCCTGCCGTGCCCCGCGCCGAGTTGTCTTTCGGTACCTTTGTCCGATTACATCATCATTTACAACCTCAACACCGTCGCTCCCCTCAACGACGTCTCATCTACATATTTTCCAACCAAGAAGGCATCAAATTCCCAAACTCACAAGGGCACGTAAACCTCAGCTTACTCAAAAGATAAGACCACAATTTAAGCTCTCAACATTCCCTGTGATAATATCACCAAGATACCGCGCCTACCTACATTAACACACCGGAAGCCGGCCATGGGCTTCATACCACCACACATGCTCAAGGCCAAGGCAGCGAGCCAGAACGTCTCTGCTGAAGAGCGGGAGGCGTCAAGGAAGACGATGGTGATGGATGCTGCTAGGCAGGCGCAGAAGGAGGGTGGGGAGAAGGGAAAGACGAGTGGTGGTGGTGGGGGTTCGACGGAGGTGAAGGGCGAGCACAAGAAGGGTGAGGAGGGGGAGAAGAAGTGATGCTGGAGGATGGAAGATGCCGCTTTTGAGATTGGAAGACGCGCGCGGCTGGATGTGATGCTTCATGATTACGAAATACCGGAACGAAGATTGATACCAACCTCGACCTTGGGTAAAGAAACGAGACAACCACAAACACCAAAAACGGAGCGGCAAACAAGGGATTAGGTGGAGAGAGAATGATCTGTTTGGGGTCTCCTTGGTTTGTCGAGAACAATGGCAAACCTAAACAGCCCTTTAACTTAACCAACGAACAGCACAAATTGCATTCCTTATTCTTCCGAACCCTTAGATGAGAGACCTGCCATCACGGGCTGAAAGGTTGACAGCTGCAAAGGCGATCTCAGCTTGATGGGAAAAGGGCATGTCACCGGTAATAATTCGTCCCAATTTCCCCAGAAAACAATCCAGGAACCAGCTGCCACCCAACCTGACTGACTAACCAGTAACCATCAAAATTGGAAGACAGATCCACTCGCGCGTCCCAGTCCCGACCAACCGCAGTCGACCCAGATTTTCCCATCTGACCAACACGACGAGAATCAGTCGATGCGAAAACAAGAGCGGCGGACCCTTGCAGCGCGGGAGTTCTCGGTCCCGCTGGGGCAGCCTGCCAGCCTCAAAATTCCCAAGACCTGAAGAATCACACGGTCGCACCGGCGTCCTGCGGCGGATCGCCCTACACATTCACCCCGCTAAAGCACCCGCGGTGGATCCCGCCCGCCAGCCTGGCTCTGCCCAGCTTCCCTGGCCAGCACCCGTCAGGGTAGACCAGAAAGTGGTGCGACTTTGGCACGAACCAGAACATCAGACCACCATCGGCTGGTTGGCTCTCTGCCCGACGATAGGGACTGCACCACACAACTTTGCAAGTCAATGAGGGATCAGCTCATTGAATTCTTCTCGGCGCATGATGACGCAGAAGGAAAGGTTGGGGTCTTGCGAAGACATGTCGTCCCGTTAATGGCCGGTTAGATGGGACCCTTTTCCATCTCATTCAAATATCGCGGGGTCCCCTTTTTCTGACGCGTTTGGAGAGGGTGAAGAGGGACATTGAGAAGAACCATTCACGATTCGAGCATTACCAAACCGACAAGACGACGATCACCACTGTGTAAAGGATTCGACAGCTTTGAAGCGAGTTTGTTTCTATCGATACTTCCGAGGGATTCGACTAGCATTGGGAATCTTCAAACACCAACACCAAGAACACCACAAGTCTCGTCCCCGCCATAGCGAAGAAACCGCCAAGATGGGTCTCATGAGGCACATGAACCACATCGACCGCGAGGAACTCTACACAGACCTCGAAGCCCGCATCCGCTACCTCCACAGCTTTCTCGACTTCAGCAGCAGTACGTCTCTCTGGTCACCTTCTTCCGAGCAGCAAACACCAACTCAGGATACGTCTACTGACCAACCCCACTTACAGAAGACATCGAGGCCCTCATCCACGGCGCGAAATACGTCAAGGCCCTCATCCCCGCCGTCGTCAACATCGTCTACCACAAGCTGCTGCAGTACGACATCACCGCCCGCGCCTTCACCACCCGCTCCACCTCCTTCGAGGGCCCCATGGACGAGGTCCCCGACGACAACTCACCGCAGATTCTGCACCGCAAGATGTTCCTCAGGGCGTATCTGGCGAAGCTGTGCTCTGATCCGAGCAAGATGGAGTTTTGGGAGTATCTCGACAAGGTTGGGTATGTAATTCTGTCTCCTACGGTCTACCTCTATCCCTGTAGACTCTGATGCGCCGTTGGCAAGAGACAACAGACAGCTAACGACACAACAGAATGATGCACGTAGGCCTAGGCCGCAAACACCCCCTCAACGTAGAATACATCCACCTCGGCGCCTGCCTCTCCTTCATCCAAGACATCATGACCGAAGCCATCCTCTCCCACCCGCGCATGGTCATGCAAAAGAAGATCGCCCTCGTCAAAGCCCTGGGAAAAGTCATCTGGATCCAGAACGACCTCATGGCGAAGTGGCACTGCAAAGACGGCGCAGAGTTCCAGCGCGACGGCGACGAGGATGGAGAGGGGATCGAGATTGAGGAGGAAGGGTATCTTCACGGGAAGAAGATTCTGGAGAGCGAGAGTGATGAGGAAACTGCTGTGAATGGGGTTCCTGGAGGCAATGGGAACGGACCAAAGTCGCCTAGTAGGTTACCTACGAGGAGGCCGAATAGTCCTGGTAGTGGAGGGATCTGTCCTTTTACCGGGATCTCGGTGGGGGTGGAGGGGATGAAGGTGTCCGAGGGCAAGACGGAGCACGGGGAGGGGCTGCAAAAAGTTGAGGCTTCTGTCTAAAAGACGTTGGGAGGTGTTTTGGGAGAATTATTTGCATTGCTTAGGTGCATGGTTGGATGGCGTTTAGGGTGTTTGGTATTGCAGTTCGTGCATTGGGTACGAGATGGATTTATTATAACTGCTACTTGAAACGGTGTCTTGCTATCCCGAGAATGCCTACTTCAACTGCCATAACTCTTTGCTGCTGTGCTGCTCACGACAAGACTGTCCAGTCATCATCGGGATTCGGTGGGCGGATATGTCGAGTGATTACCAGAGTAGTTTTTTTCCGAATCCCCCGTGGGAGCCTCTGCCTAATTCTTCTTTGCACCTCCCATCTCAAAGCTTCCTCACTTCGCCGTATTGTGAGGGAATTCGGAATTTGCAGCGCCACTGCCGGTTCTTGTTTCACTCCCCCCCATCCCCGACGTATTCAGCTGGCAGTGTTGTGAGAAAGCGAGTGGGAAGGAGCGATGGCTGCTCTATGCGCGGGTGAAGTAAAAAGGCGAATACCATCGTTGACGAGGAAGAAGCGGCACCGACCTCATGTGAGGTCTGAAGCATATGGGCATGGAAAAATTGACGTGACTTCCACAGGCAAGTATCCAGGAAGTCATTTAGCCAGAAACGAGGCCCAAATCAGGTTCGTAGGATCCACGTTTACCGAGTTGAATGTTGCACAGGAAATTACCAGCTCCTTCGCCCAGATATTCATGACTTTTACGGTTCGACTTCTGGTAGCTTGATGTGACTTCACTGTTCTGGGCATGGAGCTGGTGCAATGAAAGATTCTGCATGTAAGGGAAGGGGCTATTGCCCAGGCTCGTCTACCGTTGCTCCAAGTCTGAAGTATCCTACAGTGTTGCAGTGAAGAAGAGTCTCGGTCCACCCAAATCAGGAGGACTCCAGGAAATATCCTGATACGTGATCCTCTTCTGCAAGCTCAAACCTCCGTGTCCATATACAAGACCAAAATCCAAGCAAGTCCAAACACCCTCACAGCTGGAAATCTGGTCCCTCCGTTCGGCGACGCTTCTTGCCCTGATAGACCGACACGCGCCCCAGCATGCCCTCCATCGCGCCCCTCATCTCCTCCAACTGCTTTTCCATGTTTGCCGTGTACGCTTCCTTCGCTTCTGCGGCCTTCATTCTATCGGCGCATTTCTTCGCCAGCGCCTTCACCTCGGCCTTTTCGGCGGCCGTCTCCGCCATCTGGATGCTCGCCTTGGTCTTCTCGGTCTCCAACTCAAACTTCATTGCCTCCGTGTCAAGGTTCATAGGGTCGACGTCTTGAGGCTCGTGTTTGATCTCCGGTTGGCGATGAGAGGACATGGACCCCTGAGTCCGCTGAAGATCTGCCATTTCATCCTGGATGTGGCCGATGAACTCATTTTTTTGCTTCAACTCTTCCTTGAACTGCCGGATCTCCGTGGTATGGGCGCCAATTCTTTCAGCTAAGTCCTTTTGGGTCTTTTCGAGGATGAACTTTACGCGTATGTATTCGTGGCTGGGTGTCCACTTCATGGTTGGTTTATTGCCGCTCGGTTCGGCCGTGCTCTCCTCAAGATTGGCAGTCTGGGTTCGAAGCTGTGCAAAGGAGCGAGTACGGCTTGCTGCAGCTGCAGCCTCGTCACTGACAGATTGCAACACTTTCTTGGTGTCCTTGAGTTCCTCTTTGGCCTGAGTCAAGGCCTTCCTTGCCACAGCCAAGCTCTCCTCTCGAGTACGCATCTCCCTCTCCAACTTGGTGACTTCTTCGCCGACTTGCTGTTTCTCAGAGCTCAAGCGCGTGACCTTGGTCTGGAGATTCAACGCCGTTCTTCCCATCTCAGCATTCTGTTCCTTTAGCGTGGCATTGCTCTCATGCAAGTCCTTCATGTCAGACTGGAGGGCTTCCTTCGTGCGACGGTTTGCATCGACCGCAAGAGCCAGTTCGTTCTTCACAGTCGCAAGCGTTTTGTTCTCTGCTTCGACTGCTTCCAAAGCTTGGCGCAGAGATTCGACCTGTTTAGCAGACTCCGCTAGCTCCATCTTCCTCTTCTTTGCACTGTCCTTGTATTTTTTGGCAACTTGCTTATTGGCGATGAGGTCTGTCTCCAGTTGCTGAATCTTCATCTGGAGATCGGATAAGCTGCCATCCAAATCCTTGCCTTCCAATGTTTCGGTGAGCTCCTGCTTCTCCATCTGTAATATCTGAAAGGAGGCATAGCTTGCCAAGACTTCCTGTTCGTACGCCTTCTGAATCACTCGAAGCCGAGTTGTTTCCCAGTTGGCACGCGTTTTGGCAACGAGCTGCTCCGGGCCACTGCATTCCTTGTCGCAACAGTGCCTGTAAGTCTCGCCACCACTCTTGACCGTGATCCATCTCAGATGTGGAGCTCCGACGTATTCGCCGCCCTCTGGATCGGGATGGACGTCGCATGCGCGGGTAATGACAGCGCCATTGTTATTTTCGTCCTGTTTGTGTCGGGCGATGATAGTGATCGCAATGATGTTGACAATGGCCTTGTCGTCGCGGGTGACATCGATGATGAACCTCCAATGGGTCGTAGAGGTGCGATAAGTGCTTCCCTTTCCTCTGTACATTGACAAGAAGAGTTCGAGTTCTGAACGCGTCTTGGCCGGGAATCCGTACTCTCGGGCAAGGTGGCGGATGACGTCCGCCCAGCGTCGCCAGCAGCCTTTGTTAACGGTGATTTGCATGGC